TGCCGCTATCTCCGTAACAACCTTGGCCTCATCCTGCTCTATATACGTGTACGTGGTTGCCAAGATTACATATTTATGCATCATAGCAAGCAGGGAACTCCTTCCTGACTGAGCCTCACGTTTCACGAAGAAACTGGAGTCGACAACCTTACCTACGCCATCAAGAAACTTGGCACAAGCTTCTGTGTCCTAAAGCAGATTGGGCTTTAGTAACGTATAGATCTCAAAAAACTCATCTAAGGCTGGTTTGGCAGGTTGTTCACGATTGCTCATGCGGGCAGATGCTTCCTTTTCAACAGGAGGGGCAAGCCCTGGCACCACCTTGGCAATAAAATCACCATCCTCACTCTTCATCGCTGCATGCACCTCCAAAATTAGATCGAACTTGGACATGGAAAGCTGTCTAAGAATAAAACTAGGCACCGGGGCTGGCCGTAAGAGTTGCGGCTCTGTGTGTAGCTGGTGTAGGCTGTCTCCTGAAGGAGAATATTAGGGGCATGGCAGAATAAAACCTGTCCCACGCCACGTTAACCCCAACAACATAGCTGTTATGGCAGGGGCACAACAACCCATTTTTTGCCACATCCTCGACCCTGTCGACCCAAAATTCAAGTCATGAGGCTCCAAAAAATCAAGAAGAAAGAGAAAATTGAATTTTTCATACCTAGGAGAAAAAGAAAAGCAATAGAACACAATTCTTTGCATGGGCAAGCAAAGAAGATTGCTAGGGGAAGGGGAATAAATATCCTCTAGCTTTCTCTTTTTCTTGTAAGGTTTTAAATGCACTCCAAATTTATTTAACCCCTGCTTGACGCAGACTTAAATGGGTTTTGGTGGCAATTGCATTCCCTTTCCTAGAAGAATTTAAATTCCAAGTCAAATAGGGAATCTACATCAAATTGGGACACAAACTCCATTACATCTTTGGATTCCTACACCTCCTGCCTTTCAAGCAAACAACCTAGTAGGTGTGAGGGCATTTGTGGAGTGAAAAATAATCCCAAAAATCATGGAGCTAACACGTGGATTATTCCCCAAGAAAGACAATACTACCCTTATTAAATGAGCACGAAGTAGTCTCATTCACCACGTGTAGCTGAGGTAAAGCAGGCAGAGATCAACAACTACTCAAAACACCCCTGCTCGTAGGAAAAGTCAAAGGTATTTATGATATGATAATTTCTTATTCTTATCATAAATATATTTCTAATCAAAGAAGACATCTTTCAAGTAAGTAATCCTAATCTCATTAATTTAAGATATTTACCTAATTACTCCAAGATATTTATTTACACAAATATTTTGGAATTTTCTCACCCAAAATACCACCTAGGGCCAGCCACCCTTAAACCCTAGAAGGGCGGCCTATACTCCCCTCATCTCCTATAAATACCCACTTTGTCTCCAAAATTCAGGAAGCTTTTGCTACCAGCAAACTTCTAAACACATTATTTTCAGAATTTTAACTTTAGCATCAGAGATTCTTCGCCCAAAGCCCCCCTTCATTTTGGACGTGTGAGGTTTTTGGCCTTAATCTTAAGTGTTATTATTTTGCAGGTGCATATTCATCAATCAAAAGAAGGCAAAAATTTGCATCCACAACAATATTGTACTCATTTGGTTAATTCAATGTTCTCTATATTGTTGTGCTAGTGTCAAGGTTCAAACACTGTTCATTTCATATAAGAACAATCAAACCCGTGCATTTACTCGCAAATACCACATTAACAATTACTTATTTATAGAATTTACATGGAGAAGTTGGTAAAAGTAGGAGATAACTTTGTAAAAATTAGAAATTATTAAAAATTTCAAGATAAATTTCAAAAAAAAAAAAAGATAAAAAATGCTAATCTTACAACATATTTGTACCATCATTTGTATTCTCTCCTTAATAGAGATGAGACTCATATGTATTGGTGGACTCTACTTATATTAGAAAGAGAATAATGCTAGGGAGACTAAATTTTTAAACCAAATTATGTGTCACAAAAAGGAAATAAACACATTGATCAACACTTAATAATCCAATCATCAACCATGCACCACATCATTTGGTTTAAAAGTTTTGGTTTCTCTAGCATTACCCAGAAAGACAACTGGCCCTTTAACACAGTGGTAGAAAGATATTGAGCCATTGCATGATGACGTAGGTTCAAACTTCGTTGATGGCTAATCTAACAAAATATATCGTTTGAAAAAAAAAAAAAACCAGCATTACCTAGAGAGAGATGGTACCAATATATAATTGGGAGTTTTAACGAAACACTCCCGATACTGTTCACTTTAACGAAAAAAACATTTATACTCTAAAAAGTCAATCCTGGTACTATTCACTTACAACACATTTTTGTCATTTTGATTAAAACTCAAAGTTTTCAAACAATTTTCATTAGTTTTCCTTATATAATATGTGTAATATTACTCTAGATAGATAGACAAATATTCTCCCACTCCGTGACCAATGGCCCTCTCCAAAAAATTTTAGCAAATTTAACCACACATACAACTGGACACACATGAGAGAAAATGTTAAATTTGAATATCTGAACCAAATGCAAAGAAAACCTCAAGTGTTGTGCTTTGTTGGTACCTCATGAAAACACAATACCATAAAAGCACAAGGGCATGTATGTCAAAATCCAAAGTTTCATATTTATTGTTCCCCTAACCCAATACAAAAACAATTATTAAAATAAAGGGTTAAACTCTGTTTACTACCCTCATGTTTCGTGGTTTTCAACATTTAGTACATCAAGTTTTTTCATCTCAGAGTCATATCTAAAGTGTTAATTTTGGGACAGTCTTATACATCCGTTAGTCAAATTGTTAGTTCTCCTGTTAAGTGATGATGTGGCGCCCATGTGGACAATGACTGGGCGTCACATGTCATTAAAAAATTAAAAAAAAATCCATCCCTTCTCCCCCTGCCCCCAACCCAGAAGAAGAAGAAGAAGAAGAAGAAGAAAGCACAAGGGCATGTATGTCAAAATCCAAAGTTTCATATTTATTGTTCCCCTAACCCAATACAAAAACAATTATTAAAATAAAGGGTTAAACTCTGTTTACTACCCTCATGTTTCGTGGTTTTCAACATTTAGTACATCAAGTTTTTTCATCTCAGAGTCATATCTAAAGTGTTAATTTTGGGACAGTCTTATACATCCGTTAGTCAAATTGTTAGTTCTCATGTTAAGTGATGATGTTGCGCCCATGTGGACAATGACTGGGCGTCACATGTCATTAAAAAATTAAAAAAAAAATCCATCCCTTCTCCCCCTGCCCCCAACCCAGAAGAAGAAGAAGAAGAAGAAGAAGAAGAAGAAGAAGAAGAAGAACCAAAAAAAACAAAAAAAAAACGAATCTGCAACCCAGAACAACAACAACAACAAAAAATCTGCAACCTAGAAGAACAACAACAACAACAAAAAAAAAAAAGAAAAAAAAAAAACGAATCTGCAACCCAAAAGAAGAAGAAGAAGAAGAAGAAGAAGAAGAAAAAGAAACAGCAGCCCAAACCCAGTTCGTGCCCCCGCGACCCACCTGCCTTCCCCTCCACCTTGCGACTGCGACCGCGTACCCTGAATATTCTTCTTCTGGGTTGCAGATTCGATTTTTTTTTTCTTCTGCTTCTTCTGCTTCTTCCTCCTCCTCTTTCTTCTTCTTCTTCTTGGTTGCAAATTCGGTTTTTTTTTTCTTCTTCTGCTTCTTCTCCTTCTGGGTTGCAGATTCGGTTTTTCTTTTTCTTCTTCTTCTTCTTCTTCTCCTTCTTCCTTCTCCTTCTTCTTCTTTTTGGGTTTTGGTTACAGATTCAGTTTTTTTTTTCTTCTGCTTCTTCTCCTTCTTCCTCCTCTTCTTTCTACTTCTTCTTCTTCTGGGTTGCAGATTCGGTTTTTTTTTTCCCTTCTTCTGCTTCTTCTCCTTCTGGGATGCAGATTCGGTTTTTCTTTTTCTTTTTCTTCTTCTTCTTCTTCTCCTTCTTCCTTCTCCTTCTTCCTTCTCCTTCTTCTTCTTTTGGGTTTTGGTTGCAGATTCGGTTTTTTTTTTCTTCTGCTTCTTCTCCTTCTTCCTCCTTGTCTTTTTTCTTCTTCTTCTGGGTTGCAGATTCGGTTTTTTTTTTCTTCTTCTGCTTCTTCTTCTTCGGGGTTACAGATTCGGTTTTTCTTTTTCTTCCTTCTCCTTCTTCTTCTTCCTTCTCTTTCTTCTTCTTATTCTGGGTTGCAGATTCGGTTTTTTTTTTCTTCTTCTGCTTCTTCTCGTTTTGGGTTGCAGATTCAGTTTTTCTTTTTCTTCTTCTTCTTCTCCTTCTTCTTCTTTTGGGTTTTGGTTGCAGATTCGGTTTTTTTTTTCTTCTTCTGCTTCTTTTCCTTCTTCCTCCTCCTATTTCTTCTTCTTTTTCTGGGTTGCAGATTCGGTTTTTTTTTTTTTTTTTTTTCTTTTTGCTTCTTCTTCTGGGTTGCACATTCAGTTTTTCTTTTTCTTCCTTCTCCTTCTTCTTCTTCCTTCTCTTTCTTCTTCTTCTTCTAGGTTGCATATTCGGTTTTTTTTTTTCTTCTTCTTCTTCTTCTCCTTCTTTTGGGTTTCGGGGCCCGGGGGGAGGGATGATTTTTTTTTTAAACTTTTATTTAATTAATTGTTTTAATATTTTTTTAATGACACATAGCGCCCAATTATTATCTATATGGGCGCCATGTTATCACTTAACGGGAGAACTAACAGTTTGACTAAAAGATGTATGAGACTGTCCCAAAATTAACACTTTAGGTATGACTCTAGGATGAAAAAAACTTGATATACTAAATGTTGAAAACCATAAAACATGAGGGTAGTAAACAAAGTTTAACCCTAAAATAAATTAAGAAAAAAAAACCATTTAAATTAATTTTATATTGCATTAAATTATTAAATTATCTCACAGAAGTTTCTCCTTCGATTTTTTTACAACAAATTATAAATATATATTTTCTTCCCAATTTTTCTTTTGAAAAAGTTAGAATACATGTGTCTTTCTCTTTCCAAAGACTGTTACAAAGACAGAAGAGAAAGCTCCCCCAGATCTGCTTAATTTTGTTCTCTTTTGTTACATGTTTCTCCAACCCATTTCCCAACATCTACAGTCCAAGCTTCTCTGAAATCCATACCACCGAGTCGAACTCGCACTGATCCAACCGAGTCAACTCAACTGTCCACACTGTTTTCATACCCTGTTTCTTCAGCCAATGAGCTATTACTTCAAAGGCACAGAGCTTGGTTATCAGCTGGGATTGGTCACTTCAGGAATGGTGATTTTCCTCCGGATTGCGCCGGAACTCCGGTGAGTGTTGGAGTTCCGGTGAGGTTTGTGTTGGGTTTTTGGTTTAGTGTAAAATGTTCAAGTCGGCGCGATGGAGAACCGACAAGAACAAGATCATGGAAGTCTTCAAATTGCAGTTCCATGCAACTCAGGTTGGTCTAAACTCATTGTCTATTGAAATTCAAGCTTTGTGATTATTTATGTCAATTGGGTTTTGTTTGGTGGCTGAGAAAATGCAGGAAAATGGAACACGGACAATATTTTATATTATTTGATCATCATTTTTGGCTCATTGAGTGTCTGAAAACAGAGAAAGTTAGAAAATTTATGTGCATTTGAGCATTGTACTGAAAGAGCCAACAAGTTATATGCAATTTGACGAGTGTGAATGTGATTGAGGTTTTCGGAGAATTATGTGTAAGATAGTGTTTGGTTTTGTGATTTCAGGTGACACAGTTGGGTGGGGACGCATTGCTGGTTTCTGTGATTCCCGTGGATGTGGGGAAGCCAACTGTGAAATCAGAGAAAGCTACAGTTCGAGACGGGAGCTGTCGATGGGAAAATCCGGTCTGTGAAACAGTTAAATTCGTCCGTGAGCCAAGAACTGGGAAGATCAAAGAGAGTGTCTACAACTTTGTTGTCTCAAGTGTATGAATTGTTTTGTTAGATTTTGTGTAGTGAACATTTTGTTCTGTTTATAAGTATCTTATTTTGGTATTCTTGTGTTGCATAGGGATCATCGAAGGGTAGTGTTCTTGGGGAAGTTTCTGTCGATTTTGCTGACTATGCCGAGGCTACTAAATCTTCCTGCGTCGCTCTTCCCCTTAAGAATTCAAATTCCAATGCAATTATGCATGTTAGGACTCTCCCACTTTGTCAAATTACGATATGTTAGAGATCTTCTTCCGAAAGGGGTTTACAAAAATAAAGACAACAATTTGATTATCGAACTCTTGTTTTTGTTGTTGAATAGGTTACCATTCAAAGGTTGGAAGCAAATGTTGATCCGAGGTATATCCAAATGTTTTTGTTTTTTTTCTGTATTTGTTGGAGTTTTCTTTTTTATGTTTCTTTATTGATTCTGTTTTGTTGGAGAAATTTTGAAGAGAGGTAGAAGGCGGTGAAGAGGCAAATGTTAACTCCGAAGATAGAAGCTTCAAGAACCTCTTAAGCAATAAGGATACTGATGAAAGCGTTTCAATTGTAAGTTTCTCACTTAAAGCTGCACATTTCATACGTTTTTGTATTGAAAAGCTTTCATTTTGTTGTTGTTGTGTTTCAAAATTATTACTTCTTTCTGTTGAGATGGTTGCAGGTTGGGCGGATAGGTGGTAGTAAAATTCATTTTTCTTCAATGCAAAGATCTTTTTCAATTGTTTTGAAAATTTTCTTGTCAATTCACAGGATGAGGGAATTAATAGAACCATCCAAATTGCTGAGCTCAACTCCAGAGCATCTATCGGATCGGACATTACATTGTCAAGTTCTGACAGCGGCTCTGGACTTGGTACTCCACGAGAACTTGGATCAAGAGACCCTTCCAACTTTCTGTCGTCTCTGAGTCACACCTCAGTACAACATAAACCTGATGTTTATGCCCAAACAAATATCTATGACGAGCATCAGCGGTCACAATGGGCATGGTCTGCAGACTCAGAACATGGAGCAAGTACTGATGGTTCAACAAAGAGTTCTCATGAAACCCTTCTAAGAGAACGGTCTCAACAGTCTTCAGATGACAACATTGAAAAGCTAAAGGCGGAGCTTCTTGTTCTAGTTAGACAAGCCAATATGTCAGAGCTAGAATTACAAACATTAAGGAAGCAGATAGTAAAAGAGACCAAAAAGGGGCAGGATCTTTCGAGAGAAGTCATTAGCTTGAAAGAGGAACGAGATTCTTTCAAGGCAGAATGTGAGAAACTAAAGTCCTTTTGGAAACGTGTGGATGATGCAAAAGTTAAAAACAGGTTCCAGTTAGAAGGTGGGGATCTACCGGCTCTTGTAGATGAAATCAGACAAGAACTGAGTTGTGAGAAGGACCTGACTTTCAATCTCCGCTTACAGCTCCAGAAGACACAAGAATCAAATTCTGATTTAATCCTTGCTGTACAAGACCTGGAGGAAATTTTGGAGCAGAAGAATAGTGAAATAGCAAATCTTTCCAACAGACCAGAATCCTGCGGTTATGCTGCAGGGTTGAAGGAAACCATCTTAAAAGGTGGGACAAGTGAGGATGAGGAGCAGATGGAGCTGGAGGATCTTGTTAAGGACCACAGCAATGCCATGGAAACACACCTGCTCGAGAGACAGATTGCCGAACTTTATGGTGAAATAGAAGTCTATAGGCGAGACAAAGATGTGCTCGAGATGCAAATGGAGCAGCTTGCACTTGACTATGAGATATTGAAACAGGAAAACCATGACATCTTATATAAACTAGAGCAAAGCCAACTGCAAGAACAACTTAGGATGCAGTACGAATGCTCGTCTCCCTCTGCTAGCATAAATGAGCTTGAATACCAAGTTGAGGATTTGGAAACAGAATTGAAGAAGCAGTCTGAAGATTTTTCAAATTCATTGGCTACCATAAGGGAACTTGAATCCCATATCAAAAGCTTGGAGGAAGAACTAAAGAAGCAGGCACAAGTATATGAGGCTGATTTAGAGGCTGTAACATGTGCCAAAGTTGCGGGTTTGGAAACAGAACTAAGGAAGCAGTCTGAAGATTTTTCGAATTTGTTGGCTACCATAAAGGAACTTGAATTCCATCTCAAAAGCTTGGAGGAAGAACTGGAGAAACAGGCGCAAGTATTTGAAGCTGATTTGGAGGCCGTAACATGTGCCAAAGTTGAGCAGGAGCAAAGAGCCATCCGAGCAGAGGACGCACTGCGAAAAACTAGATCAAAAAATGCTAATACAGCTGAGAGGCTTCAGGAAGAATTCCGAAGACTCTCTGTTCAAATGGCCTCGACATTTGATGCAAATGAAAAGGTAGCTCTGAAAGCAATGACAGAAGCTAGTGAACTGTGTGGGCAGAAGAGTCACCTAGAAGAACTGCTCCAGAAAACGAAGGATGAGCTCCAGGAAGTTAGAAATGATTATGAGGCAAGATTGCAGAAGCTCTCGAACCACTTAGACGAGAAAACCAAAGAGATGGAAGAGATTTTACTGGAAATGGACAACAATTACAAGCAGCTCGACCATCAGCAGAAACAAGAGGAAGAAGTTAAGGGAAATATCTCCCAGGTGATCTTACAACTCAAATCTCAGATTCAAAGGCTTACAGAAGAGAATAACAGCCTTTCTGAGCAAGTGGAGGAAAGCAAAAATTTGAGAGCTGATTTGGAACAAATGAAGAAATCAATCGAGGAAGCTGAGATGCGGATACAAAGAGGAAATGCAGAAAGAAATGAGCTGGTAAGTAAAATTTCTACTCTTAAGAAGGAAGCAGAGAAGTCATTGGAGGATTTGAATACAATGCGGCATCTCAAAGATGAAAAGGAGGTGACAGTTGGACTCCTAAAATCAGAGATAGAGGAGCTTAAAGCTCGGTGTAAAGACTTTAAACATGCTATATATGAGGATGAGGTTGAGAAGGAGAAACTTAGAAAGCAGGTATTCCAGCTTAAGGCTGACCTGAAAAAGAAGGAAGATGCACTCAGTACCGCTGAAAAGAAACTCAAGGAAAGCAACGGGCGTTCAATAGTTTCTGATGGAATTAAAATAACTCAGAGAAACATCAAGTCTTTGCCAGTTGCTCGTGGTTCGAAAGAAGTTGCATGTATGAAAGAAAGAATAAAATTGCTCGAGGTAAAATTTCAAATTCCTAGCAGTATTGAAACAATTTTGGCAGAGAATAACGTCTCAACTCCTATACTTTTAACTTTTACAGGGACAAATAAAATCGAAGGAAGCTGCTTTGGGAAACTCAACTGCTTCATTTTTGGAGAAGGAAAAGGATCTTCAGAACATAATCGAAAAGTTAGAGAGCACGGTGGAAGAAATAAATCAGAATAGTGCATTTCAAAAGGTAAGAAAACCTTCCATATTACGTAATGCATCTAATACAATGTCAGTTTGGGTAGTCTCTAACTGAGCGTCTTGCCTTTGTCTTTGTATATAAATGTTGTCATATTATATGTGTAATGATTGGTGCAATCATCATATCATACAGGTAACTGAAGATGCCGGTAGTGATAAAATTGCATCAGAACAAGAACTGAGACTTTTCACTGCTGATAACAGATACAGCGACTTATTAACTGAATTAGCATCATTGAAAGAGAGGAATATATCAATGGAAAGTGAACTAAAAGAGATGCAAGAGAGATATTCAGAAATAAGTCTCAAATTCGCAGAGGTCGAAGGTGAAAGACAACAGCTCGTAATGACAGTACGCAACCTCAAAAATTCCAAGAGGAGCTAATAACTGTTTTTCGATGTACTGGAACCATATTACCTTGTACAGTTGAAACAGCTAGGTATGCTTACATCAAAAGTCCAGACCTGAGTTCATTGTGTCTGCCCATTTGGCTTCATCTCAATTTTACCTAGCTTTCATGTCCTTGCCCCTTTTTTATGTAATTTTTTAAAGCTTGTCAAGGTTTCCATGACCAATATATATGACAATTTATATAATTAATATATTTTTTTTTTTAATTGTTTTTACCTTTTCATATTAGCATCTCTTGTCAATGTTAGCAGAACTAGAGTATTTTACAATCTCATATATAGAGGGTTTTCACTTCTGAACAAGAGTTCAACAGTTTTTGGACCACATTTGTTTGGCTTCAATCTATGTTGTATGCTGCATTCCTTTGGCGGGCGGCCTTATGGTCGACGTTTAGCATTTCTTCCTTTTTTCAGTTGTATTTTTTCTTTGTCGAGTTCCTTAGACAGAAAACCAGATCAAAGTTATGAATCATGACAAGTAATGATCTGTAACATCATTGATTAAGTACCTGATTTTCTTTTCGAAATTTAGTACCAAGTACTTGAAATTTGGGATGACTAGTGATGGCTGGCATTATTCGTTAGTAAATGATTTACGTACTTAATTCTCTTTTGTCATTTTGTCTAACAGATTTTGGTTGTAATAAACTTGTGCTCTGTTGATGCACAAAATCGGAGGTCTTGGAACAACGTAAATCCGATCGTGAATCTGCAAGAAAGTAAATAACACAAGATATATCATGGTTCATCCCAATGTTTGGGCTACGTCCACACTAATATTGTATTTCTGAGAGGATTGAGGATGAGAGGGTGAGAGCTTCTGAGGGTGAGAGAGCTATTCCCATGGCCTAAGAATTGACCTCTCTTAATGAGGAGAGTGAGGGGTCCTTTTTATAGAATAAGGGCTCATCACTTATTACATATTTGCCCCTTCATTTATTACATGATTACATTTAAGTCCCTCGAGTATTTATACGAGATCTAAATATGGAGGCCCTAAGTATGGTACAAACAGTAGTCTCCCAAGTCTTCAGTCAAGAGAGTCTTTTGGCTGGAGAGTTGAAATTCAGTTAATGTGTGGGTCGAAGTAACTAGATGTCGTCTTGAACTATGCTCGATATGAGGCGGTGCTCAATCTAAAATGATGCTCAACTAGAAGTAGCACATGTTGCGAGGTTGCTCGATTTGTGGCTTATGTTACTTTGGTTGGTTTGGCTTGTGGCGTTGAAGATAAGGGAGTCCATTTTATAGAATAAGGGCTCGCTCATCAATACATAAATGATGGGCTAGAGTTGATGCTCGCGGCGAGGCGGTTACTCAGTAGGCGAAGATGCTCTCTAATGATGGTGAGGGAGTCCCTTTTATAGAATAAGGGCTCGCTCATCAATACATAAGTGATGGGTTAAAAGTGATGCTCGCGGTGAGGCGGTTGCTCAGCTGGTGGCGATGCTCTCTAATGAAGGTGAGGGAGTCCCTTTTATAAAATAAGGGTTTGCTCCTCAGTACGTGAATAATGGGTGCTCTCTAATGAAAGTGAGGGAGTCCTTTTTATAGAATAAGGGCTCGCTCCTCAGTACATAAATAATGGGCTAAGTCCCCCAAGTATTTTTCATGAGGCCCAGTTGAGGCCCAATATATGGTACATAATGTAGTCCCCCAAGTCTTTAGTCAATAGAGTCTACTGGCTAGAGACTTCAAATTGAATCCATGTATGGGCCGAAGTGGTGGTTGTTCGGAGGCGGTATTTGTATACCCTGCATTGAAGCTTTGTAGGTGAACCTTTGCAAGTGAAGTTTTGAAGCTGGAGCTTTTGTAAATGAAGCTTTTGAAGCCGTAGCTTTTGTAAATGAAGCTTTTGAAGCTAGAGCTCTCGAAGCTGGAGCTCTGTAAATGAAGCTTTCGAAGCTGATTGACATGAGTGATGCTTATGAATGTTTATGTTGATTTGACATGAGTGATGCTCATGGATGTTGACATAGTGATGCTCATGAATGTTGATATGAATGATGTTCATGAATGTTTATATATGATTGATATGAGTGATGCTCATGAATGTTTATGTATGATTGACATGAGTAATGCTCATGTATAATTTTGGAGTACTGGATGTACTTTTGATCACCTGGTTGGTGATAATAGCGGCAGGCTACCGAATAATTTTGGAGTACTGGGCGTACTGTAATTTTTTGTAGTACTGGACGTACTTTTGATCACCTGGTTGGTGGTAATAGCAGTAGGTTGCCGAATAATTTTTTATAGTACTGGACGTACTTTGATCACCTAATGGGTGATAATAAAGGCAGGTTGCCAAATAATTTTGGAGTACTGCACGTAGTTTTGATCACCTGGTTGGTGATAATAGGGGGTCTGGCTCTTTTGGGCATACGGGTCTTCGCCCTCCACATAACATTCCAGCCCACTATTTTGGGCTTGCCGACAATTTGCCTTTTTTTTTTTTTTTTTGTGGCATGCTGCATTATTTCTTTCTTTATGATTACCCTCTAGTGGGTTTATACAGATGTCTGCAAAAGATAAAAAAATAAAAAATAAATCACATCATTAAAAAATAAATCTAACCCTCTGCTCAATGGGTCACGCCCATAATTCCTTTTTCTACATGCCATCACCACCACAATTATGTCTGCTTCTTTTTATCTTCTTTTGCTTTTGCTTTTACTTTCTCTTTTCCATTTCCTGCATGTTCTCCTGTAAAACGTAACAGCAGCCTGGACAGCCTTGACACCACCCACTTGCTTTTCTTGCTTTTCTCTAGAGTGATAGTTGCCTGGACAACCTAAAACCACATGGAATACTGTCAGCCTTGTCGAACCCAAATCTGGTACCAAAGTAGAAAGCAACATAAACTAGCTAGGCATTACTATGAACAGGAACCAAAGATAGCAATCCTTTTTCTGCCATGCCATGCCATCGGGTTTCCCACTGCCTGTGGATGGGTGGGTTCTCTTGTTGAAGAAACCTGACCCGGAAAATGCTTGGTATGGCGGGAGAAAGAGCATGGAGCTGTCCAGGATTTCATGTAAACTCCTTGAATATCTCCACGCAAAGCCAGCAGTTGATACTGCTCCAATAATGCTTCCTGTAAGACCAAATTTCACTGTGATTGTGGCGGACACTGGTAGCTGCAACCCGTAACCTCCGTCTTCTTCTCGATACCCCACACTACAATCAATCATTTCTCACTTTTAGTCTTTCATGGCGTCGAAGCTGAAGATTACAGGGACATAGACGGGCGTGCTGGAGGTTGAATTGAAGAATTAGACCGTGCCCATGTTGCGAGACGAAGTTGCAAAACGATCAAACTGCGACCCCAATTTGATCAATCTGATTTGCGCCTGCAGGGTCTTGAAAGACGGCGGTGGCGATGAGAAGCTCGCCCAAGTGGGTATCAAGAACAACGCCAAGATTCTTGCCAGTCGGGTGTGCGCGGAAGAGGGCAAGTCGTTGAAGGAGGAGTTGATGGTTGAGGGGGAACGCTCTCGAAGAGGGGACATAAATAGTCAAAAGTACAAATTTTCGAACAAAACCCCTTCGCTTTTTCATGCCGCTACCATTGAATTTGAACAAAACTCTTTGAAGCCGCCCCGTTCCGCTCCATTTCACTCCATCATCACTTTTCAGCCATGGCGAAGCTCAAGCTCTCAGAGAGTCAAGACCTGACCCAAATAAAGCGCATAGGTGCACACTCCCACATCCACGGCCTCGGCCTCGATTCTGCCCTAGAAGCCCACGATATCTCACAAGGCATGGTAGGCCAGACTTTCGCTCAAAAGGCCACCCGCGTCATTCTCCAGTTGATCAATGAAGGAAAAATCACGGGTCGGGCTGTTCTTCTAGCGAGTCAGCTCGAAACCGGCAAGACTGCCATTGCCATAGGCAAGGCGAAGTCGCTCGGCCTCGAAACCCCGTTCGTGATGTTGGTCAGAAGCGAGCTCTTTTCTCTGAAGATGTCAAAGATCGAAGCCCTAATGCAAGCTTTTAGGAAAGCCATTGGGGTTAGAATCAAGGAAAAGACTGAGATCATCGAGGGCGAGGTTGTGGAGGTTCAAATTGACTGGCCTGCGGTGGCCGGAGTAGCTTCAAAGACAGGGAAATTGACGCTAAAGACGACAGAGATGGAGACCATGTACAATTAAGGGACTACTGGGTGGGAATAGTGAACGATGTGGTGTGGAGGAATGGCGGGTAAAATGGTAATTGCATTACCGAAGACAGTGAAACAACTCAGTATGAGGATCGAGAGCTGTACAAACACTGCAGGAGAACCCATGTTTTGTTTCTTCCTCTCTGTAGATTGAATGGGTGTGTCTCTGAGTGTGGGTGTTGGATTGTTGGTTCTTGGGTTTCTGCAAATTCACGGTGGCAGTGAAAAAATGAAAGAGAATCGATATAGCTTTTTGTATCGATTCCCACAGACGGCACCAAATGTTGATGCACAAAACTGGAGGTCTTGGAACAACGTAAATCCGACCGTGAATCTGCAAAAAAGTAAATAACACAAGATATATCGTGGTTCACCCCAATGTTTGGGCTACGTCCACATTGATATTGTACTTCTTTAAGAGGATTGAGGATGAGAGGGTGAGAGCTTCTAAGGGTGAGAAAGCTCTTCCCATGGCCTAAGAATTAGCCTCTTTTAATGAGGAGAGTGAGGGGTCATTTTATAGAATAAGAGCTCCTCACTTATTACATATTTGCCCCTTTATTTATTACATAATTACATTTGAGTCCCCCGAGTATTTATACGAGATCTAAATACGGAGGCCCTAAGTATGGTACAAACATGCTCATATGCCAAGTGTAATGTCTTATCAACCTTTCATTTTCAATTGCTCATATGCTTTGTAATTGCCATGTGTCATAGTCACAGTGACTAATGTATTTGAAGGTCATGATGACTAATGTAAGAGGATGAATGGGGCATGAATGAAGTGTGCGCATTATGCAACAGTTAGAATGTTGCAGCTGTGATTATTCCTTTGTCAACTATCTCTCTCTCTCTCTCTTTTAGCTTTCTTCTTTGTTTTGCCCCTAAACTCCAAAACCATTGCTGAAATGCTTTGAGCTATTCAAATTTTAACATGGTATTGAGAGCTCAGGTTCTATATGGGATCGAGGCGTCAAATTTGTGATCGTTGTGCTTGAAATCCAACTTGAACCTTTCAACTCAACTCTTCCAACTCAGTTCTCAAATGATTGGATTGAGTGTAGTGATCTCAAGGCTCCAATATTCAACGGTGACAACTATGAATTTTGGAAGATTCGTATGAGAACCATCTTTAAATCTCATGGGATCTGGGATTTAGTGGAAAAAGCACTTGAAATTTCAAAATCGAAGGGCAAGAAGGTAAAAGCCAAAGGTTATACTGCTGTGGAGAAATCTTCTCTTAGTGATAAGCAAATGAATTATGAAAATTCTTTGGGTATTATCTATGGAGTTATTACAAAAGACATTTTCCTAGAATCTCGAATGAGGAGGCCTCAAAGGGTGCTTGGGATATTTTACATAAAGAATTTCATGGCGATAAACAAGTAAGATCCATTTAGCTGCAACGTGTATATCGTGATTTTGAGTTCACAAGGATGAAGGATGATGAAACTTTGTCTGTGATAGGAGCATATTTATGCGACTTAGTTAGCTTGTTTTCTTGCATTTTCATAGCTAGTTTCTACTTATTATAATGTTTTAAGTTATTTTCGTGTGTTTGTAGGTCCAAATGACAAAGTTGGCAAGAAAGTACATTTTGAAGCATTTTAGAGCAGTTTTGGGCATCAAATGGATAGCTTATGAGTGGAGCAAGATGGATGGACGAATTTGAAGACCAAAGATATCAAGGAATGTACTAAAGAGTTAAAGAAATAAATCCAAGACAAAGATGATAAGGAATCAGCTTAAAAGAATGAACATTATCCAAAACCTTATCCAACCTTATCTTATCTTATCCATTCCTAATCTAGCCTTATCTTATCTTATCTTATTCAAATCAGTTTGTGCCTTAATTCTAGCCATTTATAAGGGATAATTATGCATTTAAAATACATATTTCAAATTCTAGAACCTGTATCCCTTATGTGCCGCATATATGCCCTCTCCTTGGTGATTTAGGAATTGTAATCCTTCTCTGAACCCATGTCATGTATCCTTGTCCCTTTAGGTTCAGAAATTTGTGCTGAAGCATCTTTCTAGAAGCTTTAAAACCTACCGCACCTTTCTAGCCTAATTCCCCTTGGTTTCTGATTGTTTTAACCCATTCCACTTGGGTTTTGGTTACACAATCTTATTCCTACTCAGCCTTATGCCGTGCCTAGCCTATAAATACATCATTCTGCCGCACAAATCAGACCACCACCCTCTACCATATAACTATACACCACGCACCCATATATTTAGATATAATTGAGAGAGTTCAAAGGTGTGCTTGCAAGGAAGGAAGGAAGGAGCTTTGTGCCGTGGCTTGCAATCCAAGGAGGGTTCGCAATTTTCCATTGGAGTTGCTGGGACGTTCCTGGTTCTTTCTATCCTTAGATTTGTTTCAATGTTTGTTTTAATTTGGTTTTATGTTTTCAAAGACATGAGGAACTAATTTCTTTTTAGTTGGAGGTGAATTCGAAGCCATGATTATATGCTTTATATGAATTGATTACATTCAGTTATTGTTTCTTGAGTCTTGAATGTGATTTGCTTATCTGAGTTATTAAAACTTGTTTATGTATGTTGATTGAGGATGCATACTGAGTTTGCATGCATGAACTTGATGCTAGAGTATAAGGGAGTTTCACGTAATTGTTATGAACTTATATTCACAAGTAGTAAAAGTCACTAGTCATGATTGTGTTAAGTAAATCCTAAGCAGGAGTATCATGCTTTTCATAGTTATGAATGCATCGTCAATGCTTATGGTTTTCAAAGAACTTAATGACCTTTGATATGTCTTTCTATCATACTTTTCATAGTTAGGGAATTTGATAAGGATAATTTGGTTGTGATGCGTATTCCATCTAATTCAAGGAATTAAGGAAAATCTAATGGTTAATTTATGCTATCACGGTTAACTTGAGGTGTTGCCATTCATGGTTTAAAGGAATAATAACTGGAAATTGGTTTGTTTGCATATGTCATGTGTGGCAAAGGATCCTCTAACTAGCCTTTCACCCTCTTCAATTCACCAAATTCATTTTTATAAAGTGTTTTATGCAAAGTTTTTGTTTAAGTTTTAAATTCGTCAAAAACAATTCCCCTTCCATTGAGTCTTGTTAATTGAGTTATAATATGTTTTCTTTCAATCTCTTGAGTCAAGTTAAGTTTTATTTTCGTCCAAATCACTTGTTAGGTCTAGAATTGAGTCTTTTTTATTGTTTGTTGCTGTTTTGAGTGTTTTGAGTCAATTTTGAGTTTATAGAGTCTAGTTTAGTGTTTTTGAGTCTTATTTGTGTTGATTAGCATCCCTAGTTAATCCCTGGTTTAGAACGATCTCTACTTACATCTTTACTACAATTGTCAACAATAGGGTTTAATTGTGTGTCAAGTTAATTTTCACATCAGTCTGTGTATGTGACTCGCCTTCTTGAGTTTGTAAATCAAATGACGAGCTTTAGTAAGGATTTACCCAAAGAGGTTAAAAAATTTCTCATAAGTTTAACAAGAGCTTATGATCCTGCTGAACAAACCAAGGATATTGAAACCATTGAACTGCAAGAAGCAGTGGCTGCCTTGAAAGGGCTTAAGCAACACCTTGATAGACATGCTGAGGGTGCTACTGAAAGAGCATTTGCCAGTATTAATGTCAATCCAAAGGGATCTCAGTTCACCTCTTCTTTTGGTAACTCTAAGCCAAAGAAGAATTAGAAATCAAAGGGTAAGAAATGGGATTATAAACCTCAACATGTTGTAAACCAAGGTGTCAAAAATGATCAAAGATGCAAGTCTGATCATCCTAAAGGGAAATGTAAGATATGTGACAAACTTCACTATGGTGAGTGCTGGTTTAAAGGGAAACCAAAATGCCATGGATGCAATCGATTTGGCCATCTTGTTAAGGATTGTGATCAGTCTAACAGGACTAGACAACAAGTCAATTTTGCTAATCAGTTAATTGAATCAGCAACAATGTTTTATGCTTGCCATTCTGCTACTATTGGAAAAGATGTGAATGTTTGGTATGTTGATAGTGCCTGTAATAATCATATGACCTCTCATGAATCCTTGGTTATTGATGTTGATAAAACTATAAAGTGTATAGTTATAATTGGTATTGGAGATCTAGTACAATCAACTGGCAACTAGTTATAGAAATGAAGGGTGGAACTAGATATATTAAAGAGGTTACGAATGTGCTTGGTTTAGATGAAAATCTATTGAGTGTAGGTCATATGGTAGAGCATGGATATTGACTTGTATTTGGTGATCTCATGGTTGATATTTATGGAGATAGACAGATGGAAGAATTGATTGTAAGTGTTCTAATGAAGGAAAATAGATGTTTTCCTTTATCTCTACAATATATTAACCAAACTATGGTTAATAAAGCAACAATTAAGGAATTATCCTGGAAGTGGCAAATGAGGTTTTAGCATCTAAACTACACTAGTTTGATGCTTCTACAAGACAAATGGTGCATGGTTTACCCTAGATTGCAAGTCTTTAAGCATGTTTGTTCTAGATGTGCTACAGGGAAGGGACGGGGAACCATTTGACAAAGATAAAGTTTGGAGAGCATCAAAACCTTTTGAGTTAATTCATTCTGACATATATGGTCCAATGCAGATCACTAATCTTGGCCCCGGGGGGGGGGGAGAAGCAATAGATTCTTTCTCACTTTCATTGATGATCACACGAGAATGTGTTGGGTATTTTTTTTGCAGCATAAATCACAAGTGTTTTGCATTTTCAAAAGATTTAAAGCCATGGTAGAACTGCAGAGTGACCATTAGATTAAAATGCTCAGAAGTGACAGGGGTGGTGAATATACATCTATGGAATTTTCTAGGTTCTGTGAAGACATGGGACTGGAAAGACAACTAATTGTAACCTACTCTCTATAACATGATGGTGTTACAGAGAGAAATAACAGAACTATAGTTGAAATGGTTAGAACTATGATGTACGGGAAGAAAATTCCATTGAAGTTTTGGGCTG